AGGGAAAAAAGTACCAAAAAATTTAACTAAAGCCTGTCATTTTTAAAAAAGTACACCTCATCATAAAAGCACTAAAGCCTATCATTTTAAATTGAAATCGGTTAATAAAAAAAGTTACAAAAAAATTTAATTTTTAAATAAAAAACTAGCATTTTTACCTTTCTATTACTTTCTTTCTTTTCTTCTCCCTTGCCTTCTCTTCTTCCTGTCTTCTCTCATTTCAAACTCTGTTTCGGCTTATGGATGAAATGTGATTAGATAGAAGTTGATATTAAAGCTTACTAAGTTACGTGGGAGCTAGTTCTGCAATTTTGTGCAGAATTGCGGATCCCGCTGTAGTCTAGAATGAGATTTCTCGATTCTGCAGGATCACAGTAAATTCAATAATCGCGGGATAATGTTCCACATTGGATTCAATCTCTTTCAGTTTTAGCAAAATTTATTATCATTCTATTTCTTTTCTATTTCTCTATTTCTAATTTTGTTATCTATTTTTAGGGAACTATATGTATGTTATTATTATTATTATTTTTTTTGTTTAGGAGACTTTTCTATTATTAACGTGTCTAGAGACGTTATCTATTTTTTGTTCTTCGGAGGGCAATATCATTTCTTTTTCCAAGTGTGTTTGTATTTTACTCATGAACAGGTGGTGGATCATCCTCGCCGCCAGTTTCTCGCCGTTCGTTGTACGCCATTTCACCTGATGTTTTTCAATCAGTCACTCGTCAAACTTCTTTTGATCTGCTGTCCCATAGCAGATTTCAACCCTAACACCCTTCCAAATGGCATCTACTAGCTGTTTTCAGTTGGACAACCATCTTTGCTCGCTGCTACTGCTGTTCAACAGAAGAAAGGGGCTGTTTGCAAGCAGGAAACGGCCATTTCCAGTTTTCTGGACAGCTGTCCAGCTGCCATTCACGTTGGTATAACTTTTAGGAATTTGAAGTTAGTGCTACATAAGTACGTCCTGGACCAGGTTGGCTCAGCTAAGGCAGAAACCCCAAGTCTTGCCTCGGATGATTCCTTCCCTCAGGTGGGGCCCATTATGCCCCTATTCACATTTGCAGTTAGAGGAATTGGGGGAAAGTTTGAATGTGTTTTGGGGGTGTTTATTAGGGTGAATCACCTAGGATTTGTTTTCGTATTTGGATTTCTGCAATTGTCTGTCTTTTTGTGTTCAACATTTAGTGTTTGTGGAGAGTCATTCTACTTCTTGAGTCATAGATCGCCCCATGTATTTTGTTTGTTTTTTTGGAGAGTAATCAAGCTAGCCCTATTTTGGGTTTTCCCACATAATTCTTGTACTTTCTTTGCTAATTTTTGCTCTGATTCGTATCAAATTGATATCAGAGGTTTCGATCCAAGAAGAAGCAACCGTGGCCTAAAAGGAGTTCTGCGTCGTGATCGTGATTGCTGCGTTCAAGGATTTCCGCGTCACTGACAGTCGCTTGATCCGTCGTAAGCAAATGATCAGGTTACAGTGTACAATGACCTACTTTTTTGAATCACATGAGATAGCCATGATCTAAGAGAAAGTCATGAAATTCACGATTCCAGCTAACTATGAAGAAACATAATACCCGAACAACACGATGTGGTTCCTAGCTTTGCCAGACATGTGATTCAATTTTGATTTGAGCGTGCTTGGAAGATCGCGGCATACTCAGGTCTGATACAGTTGCGGCAAGAGCTAGTTGGGAAGACAAACGAGATCACAAATTAGATGATAGCAAGGAAAGTGGATGCTTTGAAAGAGAGGTTGGAAGAAGTTGGATAAATTAAATCCAGAGTTGAGAAAAAGTTCTTTATCATAGATGGAAGGTTGTCTTTCATGAAAAACATAATTGAGGGCTTAGAGAAGATAATGAAGAGGCTTCTCAAGATGCAATCCAAGACCTCGTTGGTACTTCAAATTGCAAACCATAACCAAGGTTTGACTAGAAAATCCTTTTCAAATTCTAAAGAGAAAGAGTTCGAACGAGAAGAGCATGAGGAAAACATCCACTATCAAGTGAAATCATGAAAAACATCCCTAGGATTCCAATGGGGGGATTCAGAATTTTTGATGGAATTGGTTCAATTGAAATTGGGATATGGGTTATGCATGAGATATGAAGGAGTTCTAAAAAGAAATAACGGAAGCCGGATGGGGTATGGCCATGATCGGGTATGGCCATGATCGAAGGTGTGATTTTCACTCTAGATATATGAGGGGAACCACTAGAAGCAGGAAGTTGGGGTGGAGATGCTAGGATTAGGATGTTGAAGGTGTCAATTTTTGAGGGGGAAGACACATGGTTGGCTATACCAGGTGGAGCAATATTTCACGGTGAAACGAGGAAAGGAGAAGTTCAGGGCCCCAGAGTTATGTTTGGAGGAGAAAAACCTAGCATGGTTTCATGAGGGATGTTAGATGTTTGATCCGCTTGTGGGAGGAATTTAATGATTGCTTTTTGGAATGTTTTTGAGTCATTCGGGAAGGAGACCTATTTGAAAAATCATTGCCTTGACTCGAGAGGAGACCATCATGGAGTATAGGGAGAGATTTGAGTTACTGTCGAGACATCTGAGAGGGATTTCTAGAACGATATTGGAGGGAAACTTTATGAAGGGTTTAAAGCCTAATATATGTGCATCGCGGGGTTTGGGGAGATGATTGAGCAAGCCTAGATGGTGGGAGACAAGAACCAGATGGAGAAGGCCAACATAATTAACATCATAGAAGGATTCAACAGGAGTACCTTGACACCGAGGATCCATACAATGTCATTTCAGAGGGAGGCGTTGAAGAAAATGAATATGGGGGCCCTTCCCGGGTTCAACTTCAAGCGTCTTTTGGAGGCGGAGGTGCAGAACAAAAGAGTAAAGGGATTATGTTTCTGATGTGATGAGAAGTACTCACTTGGCCACCGATGCGAGGATCGCATGCTCCAGATCCTTATAGTTTGTGATTGGGAGGAGGCGGATTGTGAGGAGTTAACGGAAGAAGCGGTGGAGGGAGAGCACTTCACCTTGATGTAGCGGTGGTATCCCTCTACTCTCAACTCAGTGGTGGGATTTACTCCAAATCACGTCATGATGGTGAGGGGACAGATTAAGGAGCAGATTGTAGTGTTGTTTGTTGATAGTGGGATAATTCACAACATCTCAAATCAAGTCGTGGGTCAATTGAGGTTGAAGTTGGTAGATACAAGAATTTTTGGGGTTATGATGGGAACAGGAAAGGTGGAGAAAAGCTTGGAAATTTGTGCGGAATTGGTGTTAACACCTCAGGGTGTACATATGATGGAGGTCTTCCTTTCCCTAGACTTGAGAATGACTTATGTCATTTTGGGGATGGAGTGGTTAGAAACGATCAGAGAGATTAGTGGATTTGAAATCCTTGACTATGGAGATTAGGGTGGAGGGATGAAGGTGGTGTTGAAAGGGGTTGTTAACTTGTGCAAAACCATGGTCTCACTCAAAACCATGGTCAACTTGCTATAGAGAGCAGGATTGGGCTATTTGGTGGAATTGTTGAGTTCAGAGGAGATTCATGATCCACCTCACCTGATATGGGCATAACATTACAATAGTATCCAATAATTCCCAGTACTTGGAGGAGAGGGACAAGATATTTGCATAGCTCAAGGGATATCTACTTAGGGCTCAACAAAGCATTAAGAGCAACGCTGGTGGACATAGAAGGGAGGTACAATTTAAGCTTGGAGACATGGTTTTTTTTAAGCTGATATCTTATCGGTATAAGAAACTGGCCAGGAGAAACGAGAAGCTTTCCCCATGGTATTTTGGACCCTATGAGATTATAACCTGCACTGGGGTAGTGGCATACCGTCTGAGGATACGACCACCATCATCATCATTGTATCCAATATTTTATGTATCAAAGCTGAGACACGCTATCGGAGACCACATGCTCTCGTCTTCATAACCTTCGACGCCGATAGAGAACAAGGAGGTAGTTTTGGAACCTTTGGAGGAAGAAGGGGTGCGTTGAGGAGTGGTTGGGGCAAATGAGGTGCTGATAATGTGGAAAGATCTTATGAAGCTACTTAAGTGTCTTATGAAGTGATCGAGAAGCAATTTCCATCATTCCATCTTGAGGACAAGGTGGTTCTGTGGGAGGAGAGTATTATGTTAGTCACTCCTAGATTGGCCTGGCTTGGCCTAGCCTAATGGCGGAAATCCCAAGTCCTGCCTGGGATAATTCCAACCCCTGGGTGGGGCTTTTTAATCCCCTAATCACGTGTGCGGTGAGAGGAATTTGGGGAAAGTTTGAATGTGTATTGGGGGTGTTTTATTAGGTCGAACCACCTAGGTTTTGTTTTCATCTTTGGATTACTATAGTTTTGTCCATTTTTTTTTTCCAAGTCGTGTCTTGGGTTTGTGACAAGTTGATCTACCTCTAGAATTATAGATTACCCCTTGTATCTTGTTTGTTTACTTGAACTAATCAAATTAGCCCTAATTTTGATTTTTCCAATTAATTCTTGTAATTTGTTTGTTGATTTTTACTCTGATTCATATCAGTTGGCTTTTTCAAAATTTTGAATTATTTATTTCCCGTGCTTTTGGGACTGTTTTTGGCTTTCAAATGTTAAAGGCTACTTTAAGATGGTCAAAAATAAAATTCCTGTAATGTTTCTTTAATTCCTTTCTGCTCTGTTTACTTCACAAACAGGAATAATTTGTCATAGATGAGTTGATGTTATGAAAATGTGTATAGCATGCTAAGCTCCATCACAATAGATGCATTCAGGTCCATTTTAGCTGTTTTCATATGGTCTATTTCAGTTCTGCATGGAGCTTTATTTCATTATTGGAATGTATTGTATTTCTCCCATTTATTTTCCATTTGTTTTATACACTGCAACTGTAAAAAATGGACGAGCTGTTTTATCTAACTAGTGAGTTGAGCTAAGCCATCTATGCCTGCAAGCTCAATGAGTTTATGATGATTTCCTGAAATTTATAGTAAGTTTTCTCATCATTGGCAGCTTTATTTTCAAATTGAACAAGATAAAGGATCAAAAGCCACCCAGTTGAGAGCCATGACAGATCTCTTCAGCAATATAATTGGAGAACCTTGTTTTAATCAACTAAGGTATTCTATTAATCGGACTATTTATATCATGGTAAAATCGTTCATTTCTACAGAATTCATCCTTTGGTTTTTGCAGTTATATGCTTGAGTTATAATTAGTGTGGCCTGTTATATCAGGCTGTTATGCCTACTGAAGAAATTATTCTTGTATGCTGAACTGTAGGACAAAGGAGCAGCTTGGTTATGCTGTTGAGTGTGGTCCACGGATGACATATCGTGTGTTAGGTTTTTGCTTCTGCGTTCAATCATCCAATTATAATCCTTGTTATTTGCACCAGAGGATTGATAACTTTATTGGTGGTCTTCGTGATTTACTGGTAGGCCTCAAAGATATTTTATTAAAAATGTGATATGGATAAAAATTTTGTAGGCTTCTGTTTGGTACGTTGGCATGTCTTATATCACATGATGATGCTTTTGATATTTAATAATTCCAGTTTTCCAAAGCTCAGAAGCCATCTTTTGCCTGACTTAATAAAATGCTAACCGAACGGGGCATTTTTTTTACCATAGTTTTGTGTGTATTACATATTTGAATTTCGAATTTGATACATAGTGCTTCAAAGCTTTTCAGAATCGGGCCTCATGGCAATTTGGCAATTAAAGTTACTTTCAGAGTTCACATGTTTTATGTGGAATAATAGGAAGTTCTGCTTGGTTGGGACTTGAATACTTAATATTTTTTAGCAGTGGTAATGGTCTTCCTAATCCGGCAAGTTTGCATGTTATTCTTGTTAATGCATGCACACATTACTTTTTTTTTTTAGAAAAAAAAAACTGTTTTTTGGTTTCTTTCAGCATTATTGAAAGTAGATATTTCACAAAATTAATAGTGTAACTTGCCTCATGTATTTTTCATTTGTATTAGAATATATTCATTAATGATTCAAAGCTGTGAGCTATTGAGAGTGGATTACATGCTCTACATTTTGATTGAGTCATAATTTGTAAGGTACATGTTATCCCCCTTGAAATGATTTTGACAACCTGTGTGGGTTTAGCCCCCCTAAAGAAATTTCATTCTATTTAACTTTCCATTATTTTATGATTTAATCTAAGGAAAAATCATAATTTTTTATTTTCATTTTGGTCAGAAAACTAATTTTTTTGGCAATTCTAGGAGAAGCTTGATGACGAAACCTTTCAGAACCATAAAAATAGCCTGATTGCAAACAAGTTGGAGAAAGACCCATCTCTTTCATATGAAACTGGACGCTACTGGTCACAAATTGTGGACAGAAGGTAAATGCTGCTCTTCTAAGAAATTATACTTACATAGGGAATGTACAGTAACGGACTGGGTGCCAATCTGTGTAGTGTTATCTTATTTTATCTCTCTTCCGATAAATTTACTATATTTTCTGCATTGTTTTGAATATTCTCTAAAATTGTGTTGGACAACCAAATGCAACATCCTTGTTATGAACCGGGAATTAAGTCAATGCAGTGGGTCTAAGGATCAATCTTGATCACTTTATGTTTTTTCAACATCAAACACAAACAGTCAAAAAGAGAAGGCGGAATACAATATTTTTTAAACATTCACTTTTTATAGAATATTATGAGCAACGCGAAGCTCATCATCACATAAGGTTGTTTCATCTCTAATCTATTTTTTTTAAACATCATTGATTATTGATGGGTCGAATATAAAGCCATTAAGTGAAGGTTATGGATACAAATATGGCATTTAGAGAATAAAAGATGTGGAAAACCTGTGTTCTCCTCTCCAATTTTATTAATTGCCCAAAGCTTAGAGTAGCGATGAAGAAGTTTTTTGGTAAATCAATATCTGTGATGTTAATGGCTCTAATGTGATCACATTTTTAAGAATAAAAATGAAAAACAATAAAAAATGACCTATTTATAGGTTTCAGGGATATGAATTTTGCCATGCAAGCAAGCATGAATTTTATAACATTTTTGTTTATCACATGTTTTAATAGTCCTAACAAATCATGTTTCTTTACAATTGTGCTTCATGCTTTCTGCTTAATCACATGCTTTGTTCTTTTTAACCTGATGAGAATGTACACTGAATATCAATTTCACTTTCGTTGTTGTTTATCTTCCTCTGAGCTAATGTAAAAAATGGGCCATTTACATGCATACTACCCAATTCCTATTTATTAACATATCTAACACCTAAATTTTATCCGCCACATTTTTACCACCTAATCTCTCATATCACATCAAAAATACCAACATGAAATCCTTTCCATGCATAGGTAATTGAAGTTTAGGTGTTAGATATGTAAATCTTCCAATGATTTGAGGGTATGCATGTAAATCTTCCAAAAAAAAGAAAAAACAAAAGCTCTCTCTTAATCAAAAACATGAAATGTAGGTATCAATTTGACATGCCAGAGCAAGAAGCTGAAGAGCTCAAAGCAATTTCAAAAAGTGACCTTATAAACTGGTACAACACATACTTTGCACCCTCATCCCCAAAGTGCCGGCGACTCGGGATTCATTTGTGGGGATGCAACTACAAGTTAAGCGAGGAAGGCCGAACAGAATTCAAGTTTGGAAAAATTATTGGCGACATTTCCTCCTTGAAGCTGTCCTCTAAGTTCTACTCTAGCCTTTGTTGACATTAATGCTTGGAGATGTCAAGCAATGTTTGCAAATGTTCGAAAAATAAGAAGGGAAATTTATTTAA